AAAATGAATTTTTCATACAATTTTTTCACATGCCATGTCATCTAAACATAATCCTATTTTATTTGCATAGTTGCACATTCACTTTTTAATTTATTGCACAAGATTTATAAATAAAAAATAATAATTTTTTTTTTTAAATAAGATGATCTACTCTAGAAAAATCACTACGATAAATATATAAACACTGAAATAACAACTAATATTGTTGAGTCAATCAACTATAAAGCTTAGAGCACTCACAATGCTTTGGGTCTCTTAACAAAATATCACATGCCACATAGAAAATAGACTTAGTCTATAAAAAAAAATATTTTCCAATGCAATTAAAATTGAGCATGATCTAACTTATGTGACAATCAAAAAATGAGACTAAATCCACACTTGGGTCTATTTTGAACCCAAGTACAAATTTGAACAGTCAACATTTATTTCTAATTTAAATTTTCTTTTAATATAAAAATATATTGGAGCATTTTTCTTGATTGGTAGATATTCTAGACCTAGTATTTTATTTTCGCACTGGATAGCTTTTGGATTTTTTTACTTGAATTTGTCCATGTCATTTAAGACTTAATATATGTAAAATTAGATTTTAATATACTTGACTTTTTTTTAATATAAACTAATATTAAAATATAAACTTAATATAAACTAATATTTTAATTTACTTGAGTTTTTTTAGTTTATATTGATAAAAAACTCAAAATATTTAAAGAGTTTTTTAATTCAGCAAGGCTCAAATGGGGATTTTAAGCCGCCTTATAGTAAAAAGTAACAAAAACTAAAAAGGAACAATGGGAATCTCATTACTCCATTCATACGAGTCACACCCACAAGACAATTGCATTATAACCAAGAAAAAATTCAACTGACAATATTTCAAGATCTGCAAATAAACAAGACTTGTCTCAATGTCACACTTTCCAGACAAAAGAATTCCTCTTCTTCTTCCCCCCTTCCATCCAATTCTCCCCTAAACACTAAAAAAACACTGAATAATTTTTATGAGGGCCCTCAAACAAATTAATGGCATGGCATGGCATTCTGCAGAAATAAATTAAATTGAACACTATATATATAACTTACACAAAAACTACCACAAACCAAGACAGCCGATAACCGAACAACGGCCGCTATTTGGCCTCACCAAGCTCGGCATCCTTGAGAGGGATCGTCTCTATACCCTCCTTCAGCAACCTAAATTCTTCCTCTGTCAAGCTGCTTTTCGCATGAGAGATCAATTTATTGCCTTGCTGCTTTTCAACTTCCACTGCCCAACTGTAAATGATCATGCCAACAACTGCAACAACCATTCCCAATATGTTCTTGAAAGTCAGTTCTGAGTCGAACAGAAGCCATCCTAACGTGAGGACACATACGGTTTTCATGTGGCCCAAGACTTGAAAGGACACAGCAGAAAAACGTCCAATGCAGAGGTATTGGCTCACATTGCAGAAAACGGCCAGTGAACACGAGAGAAGTATGCATAACTGCATATAATAAGTGACACTTCTGGTTAGTTAGGTATATAAAAAGTTGTTCAAGGTTTTGCTGATATTTGTATAAATTCTGTTAACTTACAATGGCTCCACCGCCAAAATTGTAGTCGAAAATCAATTTTCCGGAAAGATAGTAGTCGATAATGGGGCCCAGCACAAGGAGAGAGCAAGCCTGGATGGGAGCTGTTTTGCTCAACAGTTCGAATGATCCGATAGAATACTTCTTCTGCAGGGATCCTATGGACTGCAGGCGAAGAAATATCATTCAATCATTATTCACAAACAATAATTACTAAATGTAGAATTTATATATATATATATATATATATATTCTGTGTCGGACGTGTCTAATCATATTTTCCTTATCCAGTAGCATGACTGGGATGAAAATAGATTTGATATATGTTTTTTTATCAAGTGATTAGAGGTTCGTTTACTGGATGATATCTTAATTCTAAAATCTGTTTTGCCTTAGAAAAACATATTTCGGAAAAATAGTTCATAATATTAGTGAGGTTATACCTAATACAGAATAGAACAAAGACAAAAGGAAAACGCGAGGCATACGAGTTGGGATATGAATCACAAGTAGAATAAAAAAAGTACAACAACAACAACATACCCAGTATATTCCCAACAGGTTGGGGTCTGGGGGGTCAGTTGTACGCAGACCTTACCCTTGTAATTATACAAGGAGGCTGTTTCCGTAGAGACCCAAGGTGCATTGCGCCGTTTGATATATTTTATTTTTTTTTCTAGAAACTTCACTAATAGAAGAAGCACTAGAATTTAATTGAGCCATTTTGATCTAGTCCATTATTAGCACTATGCCAGGAGAATTGTCAACAATGACTCTTCCAGCTCCATTTGCAATGGACAAAAGTAGAATAAAAAAAGTAAATAAAGATATTTCTGTTCCATTTTGGAGGCCTCATTTCAAAATTCGTTGGTATTCTGCTGAGTCCTGTGTTTGAATTTTGAGGAAACTAATGTGCAGATTTTCCAATAGAAAATGAATTATGAGAACCAATTATAGTGACATATACACCAGTTCTCCATATTTTCCTTATAACTATAACAGCCTCTTTAAAATCAACTTTGACATCTTTCTATACAAGGAAATATCAGACAGACAATTATAAGTACATGTTTACTATCCAATCCATCATCAAAAGCAAACAAGACAGACAAGTACTTTAAAGATATAAAGACAGATAGCTGCGGTAGTTAAATATTAAACTTCGAATTCCTTCTGACCTTATCAATGAGAAATCATTTTAGGGCAGAACATATACTTCCTACTCATTCGCCATATATAAAGAACAAAATATGCAAAACCACACCTTTGCATTATATTGTCATGTAAAGAATTCAGAAATAGAACAGTTTACTCACAATTTGCTGTAAAGATGTTGCAAAAACTGCCACACAAGCGCAAAGAAACCCTTTGGCATTCACTTTGACATCGGTCACAGTGCAAACGCCAACGCCTATAACTACAACCACAACAGACATTTTAACTTCATTTGAGTACTTCTTGTTGTGAAGGATCCATTCCATGACGCAGACTACAGGAATCATACTCAGCTTTGAGATCTACACCAAAATATAATCAACAATCCAATTATTTAAGGCATTGTGAATAGCAATAAATTTCATTGAACAAGATGAAATCCACAATAAAGTTGATAAGTTCTGATAAGAAGCTGCTACAAGTCTTCCACTTGATCAGGATCAGAATTAAACACAAACACAAATCACCAATAATTTTATATTGAAAATCACTATCTTATAAGATTGATGTATTTTTTACTCAACTAAAGCTCTTAGTAAAAAATTTAACAAGGACAAAGAATTTGAGGCAGCAGAGTTAGAGTCATAAATACGCTTTACCAAATAAAAATAGTAAGATTCAGATTCTAAAAGACAAAATATTACTCACCTTTCCTAGCACAATGATACACAAATGTAGAAAATATTTTACAGCTTGGGAAAATTGAAATTTTCACTATTAGATTATGAGAATGTTTCGGCGACTAACTTAGTAAAGGATATTAATAGCCACTATCCATCCAGGCACATAAGTAGAGCTTTATTGATACCATACTTGGTAAAACCCGACTGAGTTTAGCATGAGGCTCAAATTCATCCCTGTGATCGAAAGATTTGCTACAATTGAGAACCAGAGAAGTTCCCAAAAAGGCACGTGCTTTGATGCCGACAACCCCGTAGCATTTGATATCATACCAACAAGTGCAGTAACACCAAAGTGAAAACCAGTTAAAGTTGTCGCTGCACAGAGCAAAACCGAAAATAGATATGATGGTTAAAAATAGTTGTGAAACAATTGGAGTAACACCCTCGAGGATACCCACATCATAATTCAGCATTTGGAATAGTATATATTACAGTTCAAAATATATTAAAAGTGTGGAAGTTAGGAAGGCCAGGAAGGCAATTCTTTATTAGAAATGGTCAACGAAGGAATAAACAAATAAAACTCCAGCACAAACAACAAGCCTCAATTTACCATATAGAGATGCACCAATTCAACAAAAAGACGATCGTTATCCCTTCCCAAATCCATAGATCATCACTATTAATCACAGAATCTATAAGGGACATAGCCATTGAAGGGCAACTGATTCCCAATTCAAAGAGAAAGTTACTTGAGACCAAGAACCTATAAGATATGCCGTAATTAAACTTCATAAAAAGTGCACATCAGCCCAATGGTCAATCACAGAGCATGAGGAAAAAGGCATCCTCCAAAATAGAAGCTAAACCACATGCTGACAAAAGAACAAAAACCCATCATGCAATTGAAGTTCAAAACACAGAATGCGGAGAAAAAAAGGCAACGGTTGAGATCTAAGAAACGAAGAACACGAAAAACGAACAGTGAGAAGAGATTCGAGTGACGACGGGGGGAACTAACCAAAGGTGAAAGCATAGCCGTTGGAGGACATGAGCTGCTTATTAGCCATGATAATCCCGACGGAGCTGATCACATTCATGGCCCACGCGCCCATATCGGACACCGCCGACGCCGACGATTTCTTCTCCCCCTCCATCTCTCCGATTTTCTATATATATCTCCCTACCTCGCACTATAAACAAAACCCACTAGAAAAAGCGCCTTTTTCTTCACCTGCTGGCAATCAATAGATCCACCGGCCCGCGCTGCGAAGAAAACGGAGAGAAGGGCCGATTCATACACTGGAAAAAGAATCGGAAACTCGAAATGAGGCAGCGAACGGCGACGCCAGTGATCGGAAACTGTAGAAAAACAACAACAAAAATTGGGGTGTTATGGTTTTTGTTGCCTTGTTGTTTAGTGAGAGGAGGGGAAAGGCAGATCTGATTGTTGATTGTTTGTGGGGAGAGTGGTGAGTTTCTGTAAATGTAAAGGAGCTGTGAATGAGAAATTATTTGAGGTGAGGTAATTAATAAAATTCAAACAATAACATAAAATAGAGAGAGAAGAAAAAGGAACAAAAACCATCGTCCATCGACGTTTCACGCTTCTTTTACCTGATGCCGTGCGGCCTCGCTGGAACTTGGTTTCTCATTTTGTATGAAAAAATAAGTTTTGTAGCTAAAAATAAATTTTAAAATACAGTTTATAATAAAATACATGCAAAATATGAATATTTTCATCTAATAGTTGTTTACGTATAATTTGAATCTCAAATTTTGAAATGATTTTAAAGTTAAAAATAAAGGTATGTAGTAGTAATATTGTAACGATTACGTCAAAATATAATATTACTTACTGTTTACTAAAATGGCAAATAATAATTAAATCCAAAACTTAACTGTTATAATTTTTAGGGAAAGACTACGGTCCCGTTACGGTACCATCTCGTCAAGTATTTAAATCGTTGGATTATCTATCTTATACAAACTACATGTGATCCAACGGTTAAAACACTTGACGGGGTGGTACCGTAACGAGACCTTAGCATTTCCCTAATTTTTATTGAATATTATAATATTTATTACAAAATTAAAGATGTAAACACACATTAAAAAGAAATTAAAACTAATTTAGGCGGAAAAAAATTGTCATAAACTCTTTGTCTACAGTTATAATTATATAAATAATATATGGTTAAGATACCCTCGTTACGTATTATGTTTTTATATTATTTTTTTTTATTTCATATTGCAATTTATCAGAAAAATACTTCACATTGCAAAATCAAAAGTCCTATTTTTGTCATTTTTTTTGAAAGTAGGATGACCATTGTTGGCCATAACTAACGGCCAACCAATTGTATTCTTTCAACAAATATATATTCTTTCAAATTAAAACATCATATTTTAGAAAACAACATAAATAAAAGTACGGCATTTTTTACAATATAAAGTATATAATTTTATTATAAATGTATAACAGGAATGGTTAAGCAAATTTGTGTTTTTTAAGTGGTAGAATTAACTATATGATTAGGACTAGGGATTGCAGTATGACATTGGTCCTAATTGGTGTCCTGAGTCCAAACTTGGAATTTCTTGGGAAATTTCATGGGATCCAAGAGTTAATTGAATTGTGTGTGATCATATGATGCTTATTTTGTGTGGATTTTTAATAGGTTGACTGGTCTGCTAGCATGGAATTTCATAGAATTGGAAATATTTTTATTTATGGAATTCTAGTACTTTTTTTTTTTTTTG